GGGGGGGGGGGGGGGGGGGGGGGGGGTATCGCTACTCAGTATATACCGAGACGTGCACGTGTGGGAAACAAAGTTTCGATACGTAGAAAACAAGGTTCAAGTGAATGGGTGTCCGGAGCGATGCGAAACATCAACAGCTACTGCTCAATGTCCCTTTTTGAATTGCGTCGCACATTCGATATAAGCACGCGAGATATCATTGGGATCCCTTTACACATGTGCAGATCCTGTAGCGAAGACGGAGACGCTTTAATATGAAGTAGGAGCTGGGGAAGGGAGCTACCTAATCCGTCGATGTGCCGTCAAGATGAAGTACTTGTAGGCAGCGCGCAGTCGCGAGAGGGCAGCTGAGATACCAGCAACGGAGCAGGATTGTTAACCTTGGCGAGAATGGTTAGAAGATGTCTAACTCTTCCGAACATCGATGCAACGCGGAGTACACTTTTTCACCAAGAGTCACCATACTCTGTCCGGATATTCAGAGCCGAAGGCGTATATTTGGGTATATCACCCTCGTAATAATTCCAAACATTCTCTCAGTTCCCCCTTCTGACCGTACGCGTGCGCCCTTGGCCTCCACGCACACTGCTCTCACTTGCAGCAATAAGACCAACACTCCCCGCAGCGACAGCGGCAGCATATCCATCCACGTGCCACGGGACCCAACTTAGTGCGTCTCGACACTTCAGCAGCAACATTTCGCTGGTCGAGTGAATGATCCAACATGCCGAGAATGCCAAGCCTGATAAAAGTGAACGTGAGTTCCAGCTATCACATCTCGTAGAGTGTCATTACCAGAAGCAAGCGGCATCTCAGCTGTTCCGCTCACACTGTTGAATGCACTGGGTGAAACAACTGGTGACAGTGCAGCAGCGGCTACACATATCATGCTGATGGCGGACAGAGGGACGGAAGCTCTTACTGGCTTGGTCTCGCTACGATATACTTACATCAGTCTCGCGCATCTGAGAGTGAGCAGCAATTTTCGTACCTGGATAGTGGACAGTTGACACTCGGCGTGCGCAGGCACGATGTATAGAAGCCATGTATACACCCAAATCCCTCGGCGATAAGCTCATGAGGAGCCTCATGATATAGCTGTCGTTGGCAGATATCACAGTGGGAGCCCAGCATTGCCAGCAAGTTGAAGCAACGATAGAAGGCCGCCAGCTTCAGGGCTCGGGGCATGTATATATACGAGACAAAAAGTCTTTGAAACGCATAGCACCATTAGCTGAAATGCTTCGCAAAGTCCATGCGGGTGAAGCATAATTTAGTGCTCAAGCTGGCAGCAGCGCCAATAACGACCGAACAGAAGGTGCCAGAATCACGCAGGTGATGGAGTGCAGCAGGCTACTATCGCATCGTTGGCAACGTATGGTAAGTACATCGGTTCTATAAGATGATCCGAGCGATACACACCCCTGGCGATGCTGAGAAGGTAGCTCCTCGAGCTTATGGCGATAGGTCCCAGCACTAGATGCACCTGTGCACTCAGACTTGGCAACATGTTAGCACCAGCGACGATGAGATGATTTCTCTGAACCCAAGCTCATCCAAATCCCATCACCATCGCCGGCACCATTTAGTCCATAGCCTCCATTCTTTAGTGCTTGAGGTAATCGACAGGCAAGCGTCAGGCATCTGAAAGATCGCTTGCGGCACCAGTGTCGAACCATTGTCATTCGCTCTACCCGTACCCTCGGGGTCTAGCACAAGCTATGTGAGACAAAATTGGACCTAGGTGACATTCAAGCTTGTGGCAATGGGGGAAGGTGTCCATATCGCGACGGATGCGCGCGTACGATAGTCACATGCAGGACGCGCTTGTGGCATCATGACTGAGTCTGATTGACAACGAATGCTGCTAGCCAGTGTTGGCTCGTACTCACTATACGGGCCGCGACCGTTGACCCGGACTCTATCCAGTGAATTTCTGTTTCCTTTGGTTCAGTGAATACACTAGAATGCGTTGGGATAAGTCAGTGCGTCCGGACCTCGAGTCTCATGCTTTCTTTCTTACTGGGCGTCCATATCGGGTCCGAAAACGGGCAGCTGACACGGTCCTGAGGGTCTTTCAACCGTCCATTTGTCGAGAGAAGATCTAACGACATCCGCGTGGATCCAGTGCTTCATACGAACCAGTGAGATTTAATTGCAAATACTGCTCTCGTGTCTTAGCCCTAGTGTCTGCCTCTGCGGTGCGTATCTGTTCTTATGCTCCCTTGACGCCTTCGTTCATTCACAAGCGCAATCTGTGGCGTAGTCTGTGCCACGTACTAGTTCGGCCGGGAATCGGGCCTGTAAGGATACTGATGGATGGTATCTCAGTAAACGACGAGCAATCTATATTCAACTGGACCTCACGTTGGTATTGTTATCGACGGAGTTTTCCCACCAGTGAGTCCACAAGGCGTTCGGAAAAATCTCTGAGCATCTCCGATTGAACACCTTTGATAATTTGCAGGTCTTGACCATGCACGTAACTTGCAATCAGTATGCTAATGCCGCGACCGCTCGGGACACATTCTGATACCACTGTCCAACTATCAACGCCTCAAGCGCTCCTGGACCGTCTATGAGTTTCGCGAGTTCCACTTCCATTTTGTTGCCTATCGACTCAATTCAACATGGTTGTTCATGGAAAAGTGGAAGCTGGTGCCGCATGGATATACAGGGTCGCTTCCATGCCGAATGGGTTCTTATCGGTAATCAAGGCTTCTTGAGTCTTCTTCCAGTTAATCTCGACATTCATTAGACACCGGCATAGGGCATCATGCGATAGAGTTGAAATCCCGCCGGTCCCGTGTTGCAGATTCAGAACATATGAGAGTTATGGTGAATCGGATATAATATATATACTCATCTTTCCTCCGTCTGTAGGGCCTGTCGCTCTTGTAGAACTCCATGTCTGACAGCACCCCTCGGCTGCGGCCACCATTCCGTGCAGAACATGTCGGATCCCTCAAACGACCTGATACGCTGCTGCAGAAACGCAAAGACTTCTCCACGGGTTTATGCACCGCAGAAGAACTGCGCTGCGCCGAAGACGAGGCCATCAGAAAGGTCATCCAAATGCAGAGGCAGAGAGGTATGAAGACCATCACCGACGGAGAATTCAGGAGGTGAGTGGTTGATCTCTACGTGCCCCATGCACATGCAGAGAGTGCGTTGAGCAGAGGCGCCATGCGCCGTTCGCGCAGCGTAGATGCTGAAGCTCCATAATCAGAGCACGAGATAGCAGCCGATGATGATTTTCCACAGGCTGATCTTTTGGGAAGGTCTCCACGAGAAATTAGAGGGCATGAGCATCATTCCTAATGGTACGCTTCCCATTGATGTTTAAGTCGATTAAATCACATTTAGACCCTCCCCGTGCCTCACCTTGAAGCTTTACACCTCGCAATGGTGCGATTCATTTTCACCAACTTATCCTGAAGAGTTATTAACCAGATTTACATATGTAGGATTATGTTCCCAGTGTTGCATATTTCAAGCAACGTAACCTCCCCATGACTGCGTATGTTTGTGAAGTCAGTACTCACCATCACAGCTGCATCTTTCCCGCGACTGACTGTTATTCATGACACGTAGGGCAAATTACTACGTAAAACGCCATTCTATGTCAACGATTTCACATCCCTAAAGGCTTTGACGCTTCCTGAGGTACTATTTCATGACGTCCAATGGTGGCTGCGGATCTTTAACTCTCACTCATTTTCAGGAACACAACCGGCTGAAGGTCACAATGTGCGCCCCAGAATGGTTTCATCTGCGGCATGGAGAATATACATATTCCAAGGCAGTATACCAGAATGATGGTAAGCGTCCTTACGCTGGGTTGGGTCATAATCTCAACGACAAATAGAGGAATATTTCGCGGATATTGTGAAAGCATACCGAGAAGAAATTCGCGACCTTTATGCTGCAGGCTGCCGTACGTTTTTCACTGCTTATTCTCTCGTACACATGTATTACCGAGTTCAACGCTACATTGCCCTTTGGCGCATTAGGCAATATACAGATAGACACGCCAACTTTAGCGTTCTTTTGCGACAGCAGAATGACTGAAGGGATGGATGCACGAGGCATTGACCACAAAGCATTATTAGACCTCTATTGCCGAGTGTATAACGCATGTCTGGAGGGTCACCCCGCTGACCTGATTGTAGGATTACATCTGTGCAGGGGAAACGTGATTGTGCGTTGCATTCTTCTCTTCGAATTGCTTATATGCCGAGGCACATTCTGGTTCAAAAGAACGGTCATCCATTCAGCGAGGGTAGCTTCGATCCCATTGCTGTAAAGCTGTTCCGCGAGATCGATGCAGATGTCTATTACGTACGTTCTTCTACATCGATTGAACATATACTAAACTAATGGGTCCTGTACACTACAGCTGGAATATGATTCTGACCGTGCTGGTACACTGGAGCCGCTACGGTGGTTGCCGCGGGGCAAATTCGTTGTCCTCGGCTTGATATCTAGTAAAACTGCCGAGGTATGCTTCGATATTTTCATCCAAATAATTTTACAACATAACTATGTATATGTCAGCTGGAGAGCAAGGACGCGCTGATTGAACGCGTACTCGAAGCAGCGAGAATAATTTCTGATGGTGTGGAGAAACGACCGCTGGTTGAGGCGTTGAATCAGTGTGTCTCCCAATTTACTGATCTGCGTGCGGATATCTAACCATATAAAGCAGAATTTGTATCAGTCCACAATGCGGATTTGCGTCTCATTCAGACGGAAACTCGCTTACAGAGGATGATGTTGTCCGGAAGCTAACGCTACTGGTAGAAACGTCGAAAGCCCTCTGGTCTGACGCTTGAGTAGTAGCTATTGATCTGATACTCATTGAATTTTTCCATGTAATGCTGCTCGCCTCTTTCCTATAATTTTCAGATAAATATCGGCAAAGAAGGGTGCGGCACATTCAGTCAGAGACCTCCAGTTGCAAGCGTCTATTAAATAAATTCAGTAAAATGATATATTGGGCGTCTAATCGACGCAAAATCATCTTCCTCTGAGACCGCAATGTAACTTGTCTACTCTCGTAATTATGACGCCCTCTTTCCACCGTACATGCTACTGCCGACAATCTCTCAGCCAGGGTTCCTATCGCATCCGTTGTATTGCTTCTCTTGAATCGAGTCTCGTTTGACCTGGAGTACTGCGACTGTGCTATTATGTGCGACGTTTCGCCGAGTCTGAATTGAAATCATATTGATCTGGTCCAATGGCAAGTAGCTGACTAGATACCAGCCGCGGGGGGATGGGGTTCACGGTCAGAAATTCTGGTAGCGTGATCTCTACCTTTCCCTCTGATGGATCCTGAGATTCATCTATCAGTAGTCGCAGACCCGTCCGAACTGGGGCGCTACCACCAGTGGGTATCATACTTTTTTGCTCGATCATGAATGGCTCATTCAATGCATTCCAGATCGCAGAAGAGCTCCAATGAGGGACAGGTGAGATGCTGCTGGTGTGCCATCCTTGTTCTTATACCAATTATGATCATTTGTTAGCGGTCCTACCTGGAGTTCGAGCCCGTGACTTCTGTGCTAGAGACATGGTCGCCTCAAGACAGTCTAGCCCTATCGCCTATTCATTCTCTTCCAGTGGAAACGCTTGCCAACATCTTCTGGCTGTTGGCGGAGAGCATGTCATCGTCATTCCCCGCCTCGCTCAGCTCCCGCGTGGCCTCTTACTCCTGGATTCAAGTCACCCGTGTCTGTCGCTACTGGCGTACGACTGCACTTGCGTATTCGTCCCTTTGGGCTATTCTCGATACCGCGCAGCCTCGCTTTGTGCGGACAGCCCTCACTCGAGCCGGTTCCGCACCGCTTAAGGTCATATTGCGAGATGGAATATACGAGGCTTATATTGCCGCCACCCTCGAGGACACCTTGCTCCGCGCGCAAATTGCTGAACGCTCTGACCAGATCGAGGAGTTGCATATCGAGCCGCGATTCAAGTATGGACCTGGTCTTCTTGAGGCCTTTTACCGCCCGGCTCCTGCTCTCCGTTCCCTGATCATAAAGAACTGTCATGGCCGCCAGCACCACGAATTACCGCGGATGTTTGACGGTTATACGCCGATTCTCGCGCGCCTCGAGATCTGGGGATTTTCCGCGTGGCCGGAGAACATGTTTATCAACCTCACTCACCTATGTCTGAGGGATCAGCCGAAGCATCTACGGCCACCACTCCGTACGTTCCTCGACATGCTCGCTGCCTGCCCTCTTTTGGAGTGCCTCATACTTGTTGATGCCGGTCCCACGGCTGACGAGGGCGATCCATCTGCCGACGAGTCACCGCGCGTGGTACCGCTTGCTATGTTGCGTAACCTGGACATCGGACACTGGTCTTCTGCTAAATTAATCGCTCGCTTTCTTCGATGCCTTGATCTCCCTTCTACTGCCGTCGTTCATTTCTGGGCTATGCCGCTTTTTCCATCGTACGAAATCACAGATATTGGCCAGCTACTCCCCGATAATCTTGCACTGCTTCTACCTTTCCACAATTTACACACTATCGTTATAATGCCTCCCACCAAGCCCCAAGGTTGTGGGATGTTCAGCGAACACCCAGACCTTCAGGCGCTGACCGTCTGCGACGGTGCTCTACACATGCTCGGCGATTTTCCTGTTTATCAAACCTTGTACCCCCTGCTCTGCAAGCTTGACTTGCAATACGTTCGTATCTTCATCTCGTACAAGACACGCAACCTGGACCCGGATAAGTGGCCTGCCCTACTGTCGCGCATGCCGCGCCTGTCGAGCCTCACGGTGGTTCCTAATTCGATGGCTGCTCTGTTTGCGTTGTTCCCTACCATTCCTGACGGTCAAGACCTGCCGCTTCCTTGTCCAGCTCTGCAGTCTTTGACTGTAATGGAACATTACGAACGCGCTGGTTCATTGTGGGCAGTCCTTGTTTTAGGTATGGCTGCTCAAGGACGCCGACTCACTCAGCTGAAAAGGATTCGCATTATTGAAGATATACCAAGCACATACGCGTCGCAGATCTACTGGGCTGATGACTTGGAGAATGGGCAGCTGGAGTTCATTTCCACACAAGACCACCTGGATTCCTCCGAATTCGCGCCAACTTCATGGCCGAGCGAGGCGTACAAATGGTCTCTGAACAGAAGGCGTCTTGCAGGGTTTAGATGAACCGGTAGTTCTATAGGCTAGACAATGTGCATATAAATACAGTAGCAATAGTAATAACAAATGGGTTCGGTCCTGAGAGCTGAGTCTATACACACAACGCAAGTTTAAGCTGAATCATGTAGGCCGGCTCTCCGATCCTGGAGGGTGTAATAGAGTTTGAAGCTGTAGGGACGTAGTCCAACTCTGTACCCAGTGAGGAACGATGCTACTCACCTGCTCTAGATCGACAGACGGCACATTCTCTGATGAACGACCACTCTCTTCCTGTTCTTGCTGCGCGCCTTCGTCGGTCTTGACGCACAAGTTATTCATCGTCAGACCAGCATTCAGTGGGTCACATCCACTCACCTGCTCTACTTTCGCTTGCGCCCCACTCCCTTTTTTGCTAGTACGGCCAGATGCGCCAGCCAAGGGCTCCTCACGCGGGACAATGTCTATAAGGAAGTCGAACTGATCTGATTTGCTGAGTGCTTTCGCGATGTCAGCACGGGAGAGCGTGCGCCGTTTATTTGAGTCGGCGATGATGAACGCGCGAGCCGTGATCTCCGCAATGAAGACTATTCGCCCAGTCAGGTTTCCGTTCAAGGGTACGTAAGAACAGAGTAACGTACTTTCGCAAGCCTTGCAGAACAGGATAGGTGCTGCGTGCAGAGACCCCGGGCTCAGTTTGGCACAGAAGATTCCGCGAGCATGGCTGAGTGCACCCACCGTCTGCTGCGATCATCTGCGTTGGGTCCGTGAACTACACAGGGTGAGCATGAGGAATGTGCCTACCTTCACTTCAGGGTCGCTCTTCATGACCTTCTTGATACGAGCGAGGGGGAGAGGTGGATGGCGGTAGTCGGGGGTCTCCTGCTCGGCAGCATCGACCTGGCGCTGCCAAAAGGATCGCAGGAAGTCTTGGAGCGGTTCCCCGGCTTGCACGTACGGCTTCGGATTGGAGGACGACATGGCCGGCGACGCTAAGATCTAGAACGAATGATACTCGGGTTTGACGCGATTAGATACACGACACAGCCTATCCATTTCTATGCTGTCATGGCGCAATATACTTATCCGAGCGCCTTCTTCAAAGATAACATACAAGCGCGAACAAAGACACCCAAATATCCTTCCAGCGGCAAGCGCCTTTTGGCGTCGAGTTCATCGGCTACAGCGATGTCCATGAAAGCATCGACCTCGAGCGCGCCCGTGGCGCACAATGCGCTCCCACCTCCCTCTACCGCGTCAGCATCACGCTCGTCGCGGATAGCTCCTCATTCACACATCAAAGGCCTGGGGCTCACTGTGGAAGGCCTTGCAAACATAGATGCAGCGGGTTTCATCGGGCAGGTCAACGCACGGGAGGTATGTCGCATCTCAAACAGAAGAACTGCTGGCTTTTTTTTTCTTACTACTGTATTGATTAGGCGTGTGGAGTGGTCGTCGACCTGGTCAAGTCGCGAAAATTCTCTGGCCGCGCATTGTTGCTGGTCGGTGCACCAGGGACCGGAAAGACTGCGCTAGCACTCGCCATATCGCAAGAGCTCGGTGCGAAGGTTCCTTTCTGCCCCATGGTCGGTTCGGAAGTGTACAGTACAGAGGTGAAGAAGACGGAGGTGCTTGCGGAGGCGTTCCGACGTGCCATAGGTAATTTTGCCATCTCCGCCGGTAGCGCTGTGTGCTCACTCGCGCGCAAATAAAGGCCTGCGAATAAAGGAGACGAAGGAGGTGTACGAGGGCGAGGTGACCGAACTCACGCCGACCGAGTCCGAGAACCCTCTGAGCGGGTACGGAAAGACCGTCTCTCATGTCATTGTTGGGCTCAAGACTGTCAAGGGTACAAAGCAGCTCCGTCTTGACCCGACCATCTACGAGGCAATTCTCAAGGAGAAGATTGTCGTTGGCGATGTGATTTACGTCGAAGCCAACACGGGTGCAGTCAAGGTACGCCTCGCTTGTATGCTTGCAAGCCGAGATGACGTTAACCATGGCGGCGCGTAGCGCGTAGGTCGATCAGACGCGTATGCATCCTCATATGACCTCGAGTCGGAGACGTATGTCCCCCTGCCAAAGGGTGATGTGCATAAACGCAAAGAGCTCGTGCAGGATGTCACACTCGGCGACCTCGATGCGGCGAATGCGCGGCCACAAGGAGGACAAGATATCATGAGCGTCATGGGGAGCCTCGTCAAGAGCGGGCGAACAGAGGTCACAGAAAAGCTGCGGCGAGAGGTGAACAAAGTTGTGAAGGGCTATGTAGACCAGGGTGTGGCGGAGGTGGTTCCGGGCGTGGTGTTTATCGATGAGGTGAGCTCACATATGGGTGTCTTGGTCAGTCGCCGAGTGGTAATGTGTACATCGCTCCACAGGTGCACATGCTCGACATCGAATGCTTTACGTACTTGAACGCGCTATTGGAGTCCCCTATGGCTCCGACCGTAATCCTTGCCACCAACCGAGGAAATGCCCTCGTGCGCGGGACAAGCGACATCGTTGCACCTCACGGGATCCCTGTCGACCTGCTTGATCGGTATGTGGCAGCTCATTATCTTCTTCAAGGTCAGCAATGTGACCGTGCTTCTTAGATGTTTAATTGTCAAAACAGACGGCTATTCTCACGATGAGGTTGCCAAGGTCGTTCAGCTCCGTGCAGGAGTTGAGGGACTTCAGCTTGGACCCGGAGTTCTTGACAAGCTAGCTCAGCGAGGGGAAACAAGTTCTTTGAGGTGCGTCCTCCGATCCCAACGGATTGGGTTCTGCACTCAAGAGTTTGGGTTCCTGATCTAGATATGTCCTACAACTCCTTACGCCCGCATCAATCCTTGCTAGTCTTGCAGGACGCAAGCAAATTGAACTAGAAGACATTAACGAAATGGGCGAATTGTTCCTGGATGCAAAGACGAGCGCGGCCGCGATTGGTACAGGAGAGCTGGCCGCCGATAAAACTGCATGAATTTGCCCTTGGGGCGCATGTGACAGATCCAAGGGTTCTGTGTATGATCGTATGTCAAGCACGCCTTCATCTGCCACCCATGAATGCTGCGAAGCTCACTGTTCTCTTCTCGTTTTCTCTCCAGGAGGGGTGTTGAGCGGAACGGGGTCCAAAAAATTTAGGCGAAGGCCGTTGCGAAGATGGACGGTCCGTACCACACGCACTCACGCATAGCGATGTATTAGATCCTCAAGGCGGGCAAAGCCGCCAACGTGACTTGTACTAGCCAAATCTAATATCGTCGAACTGTATTGAATCATGGGCTGGACGAGCATCTGACCTCCTCCTGCGACTGTGATCTACTGTCTCTATTTACTTGCCATCTTGGGCCGCTCATTCGGCTGCTAGCCCTCGCTGATGCCATTCTCAAGCTAGTTTATTTTCGGCGCCCTTTCCCTTATTCGCCGCTGCTCCGTGTCCAGGCTCGCTCGGCCGACGAAGATGGTCATATACAGGCGCTATGCAGAATTCCATAACGGTCACCCTGCAGTGTAGAAGTCATTATTCATTACCTATGACTAGAGGACTGAGGTGATTAATCAATGGCTTGGGTTCTTATCTTCAACGCCGGAGGCTGTGGAGCCCTTGAAATTAACTGCTTCAGCCCTCAGGCCGGGGCAGCAGGTAGAGCGGACACGGGCCTTCGCACACATGTGCGCGTGTGATCACTCTTCTAGTAGCTCTGGAAGTAAGTTCCGTCGCCATCGCGTTCCCAGCCCCGCACAAGTCGCTGCTAACCCCAGGTCACGCAGTGCGCATATAATATGAGGTCAAACTTTGTTTTGAACATCCGCGCCAGGCCCTGTGAGCACGACGTTATGTGTCTCATCTGACACTAAATACTGCGCAAGCGTGGCTTCGGACCTGCATCGATTTTGACATCGAGCCACTTGGGCAGGAGGCGAACAGGTGCGTTCCCATGGCACAACGCTATTTCATAGCGAGTTGGTCAGTCTGTCAGGAGGGCATATGATTAATTGGCAGGTGGTGGCGTTCATGAATGAACGAGCCTAGTAGCTGGTCAAAATAGCTCGGTTTCCGAACGGCGCATCCCCGCCACGAGTATCATCCCCCTGAACGCGGAGGTCGTGAACGAATAGCGCTCAGAGCTGAAGCTTCTTGAGGTCAGACCCCGCGTCTCTGAAGTCGAAGAAGTCGAGGTTCTCAAGCTATCTCTGGCGATCTTGCGCGGGCGCGGGGGTCAGTAGACCTGGACGGCAGATCAGTGAAACGCCCGATTCGGCGAACATCGAGCATCTGGGACATGAGTCAGCTGCAGATGGGTGAGTTGGAAGCAGGGCCATGGGGCACAGACCGGGCAGCCGGCGTGTGCGCGCAGATATCGCGCGGGGCTTCCGGAATTCGGTGCGTAGATATGGTGGGTAGAAGAGCGAAGAGGACACTAGAGAAGTGCTCCGGGCGTCGGGAGACCGTGTGCGTGGGGCAATGTGCGTGCTCTCGTGCTGGCCGGAGTGGGCGAGTTCAATCAGTTTCCCCCGTAGCACACGGCCCAGGACGCGAGGGGTCGTACCGCGGTCCGAATGCGCAATCTGGGAGGACTAGCAGGCTCTTGGATGGAGGAGACCAGGCGAGATTTCTTCACTAGCCGTCTGCTCTGCGTTACTGCTCAGGTACTCAGTTGTATTCAGCAGGCCCAAAGATTCCTGTGCGCCCCGGGTGATGCCAAGGCTGGATGGCCCGAGATCTCTGGCGTTGTGCCACTGTGGTAATATTCGTCTGATGCTCGCTGCCCCAGGACTTCGTCTCCGCGCGTGACTAGCTGTTTCTGGGCCAAATCGGATTCCGTCCCAAATATACTTCCTAGCGAGGCTGCGCGCGGAGAAAGGCACTATGGACGATGCCACGACGCGACAAGGGACGCAAATAGCTGGGCAGAGGCGCTAGTCTATCTTGGGCTAAACTCACGGCTGGCGCTTAGAAGGAGTGTCCGCCACACGAAAGCATTGGCCAGGACGGAGGCAGATCCGCATCGCCGATGGCTTCGCTCGCTGAATGGGCCTCGGAAATGTCGCCCCTCCCCCGGGGCGCAGTATCAGTCTGCTCAGCTGCTGACGCATGTCGTACTCGGATCACGCATCTCCCCCATTGTCTCCTTATAAGCGTCCCCTCAGCCGTCCGTCCGTCACGGTCCACAAACCAGCCCTCCAGAAGTATATATATCCTCGAGCTCACCCTCGTCCTTGCCCCCAGCACTGCTGGCTCACCCTCGCCCATGATCAACAAAACGCTCCCGTACTTTTTTGAGGACCGCTCCGGTCAATACACCAGCTCCGACTTTGATGACATCTACGACCGTCTCTATTTCCGCGTTGCGCCGCCAGACCACCATGTCACGAGCAAAGACAGCGAGTCGACGCTCATGGTCTTCAACACTGGTCGCCGCTCCTCCAGCCACCGCGACCATCGCCCACCAAAGCGCAGTCCGTCGGTGATACTCGACTTTGGACCACAAGGGGCACTAGGCAAGATAAGCTTCGTGGGCTCGTCAATTGTACTTCCCATGAATCAGTATCTGAAGAAAACGTCAATGTTCGGGAGGTATGCAATGGGCGTGCCTCTCGCCGGGGCGTGGATGCTGACGGACCATTCGCAGTTCACTCTCACGACGATTCAGAGCTTCGGATGGGGAGGAGTACAGGTGGTCTTACAGGAGCATTGAGGGCCAAGAGTGGTCGGTAAGTCGCGCGCATACACACACCGATTGGTACCGCTGACGCGACGAATCACGCACAGTGCGTAGACTCGCGCAATTACATCGTCGCACACTATAACCTGAAGCCGCCAGAGAAGCCGGTATTCAGTACGTCTGGGAACATCCTCACGATCTACGAGGCATATGCCAACATCTCAGTCGGTGCGCTGCGCTCCCCCGATCTGGGAATGTCAGGAGAGATGCTGACACACTCCTTCCGCAGACATCCTCGCTTCCTTAACGATCATGCGACATATCGCAACACATCATCTCTGAATGTGTCCATCATCGCCACGATGACTGTCGTACATCTGCCGATTACAGGGGTACGTCTGAGTCACAGCAACAAGTATTCGTAGTAGGGAGGGAAGTGTATAATGGACGGACAACACATACCACCCGTATTGATATTGAACCATGTAATCATATACCTTACCTGTACCATCACCACCACCACCACCACCACCACTGTACCAGTAGCTTGTCATCGTGCATCACAGCTCCGCATGTATATTCCCACCATTGACATTCTCCTATACATCATCCTTGTCCCGGAAATGGAACCCTTGATAGTATAACGGCAGAACAACGTCTTGCGATTGTTCTCGAAACGGCACAAAGCGTGAGGGAGGTCAACTGGGAACAAGGCTTGGTGCGTCATAGCTGATTGGATGTGACGAGTCCAAAAATTGAAGCAGGAGTAATGGAATCCAGCGAACATGGCGTGAAGGGAACCTCGCATCCAATAGAAAGGTAACCCTGGGCGAACGCAGAAAACACGCCTCGCTTACTCGAGACCCATAGGGAGTGGTAAGTACAGTAAATTGCAGCGTCTAGACAGATGCACGAGGTACAAGCGCATCACTGAAAGAATTTGAACATGGAGTCGGACGCATGCGCATTGCGCCGTAAGCTCAAATAACTTGAAAGGCGCGCCACAGGCCCGTCTGTACACGTGACTCCCTCACGAGCGACCGGGTGCGGCGGGCCGTGCGCTGCTTCTTTCCTCTAGCTCAGCAGCGGCGAACCAGGACCTGACGGGCTCCCAGTGCTTTCACTCTCCCTCTCTATTTAGTCTGCCATCCTGCTTGCCCCACCACGAATGAATTCTGCTCCTCCGAAGTCATACTATGACGTCAAATCCTATTTCAGCTCTAAATGTCATCTTTCGCCTCCGAGTCTTGGAAGCCACGATGGGTGCGGCCTTTTTACGTTTCGCAATGCCACACAGATACTAATCAATGGGTGTAGAGTATTGCTATGGCGTGTGATACAATGAGTCGGGTATCTCTGGCTCTTACTCACCTTCATTACGCTCCATCCGGCTGACGACTTGACCGGTCGTTGGATAGCGCTCCTCAGTACGTTGTCCAAGAGCGGGGCTCGTACTACATGCTCCGAACAGCAAGCAGTGTCCAAGACGATGAGCTGGTATTGTGTGCAGGCTGTTTGCACCTCGACATTGTCCGTGGGATTACGTCGTCGTGGAGGCATTTCGAGATGTGGACATTTATACTTGGGACGAATTCGGCAGTGCGTTGTTTAAACTCCATCATGCTCTTTACAATATTTGCATGCTAAAGCTCCTCTGCGTTTAGCGATTGGGTTGTCGTACATTACTACTCCATGCCGGTCTATGAACGGTGCCAACAAGCCCAGAGTGAGCGTAAAGCTCGCGCATCACCTCCGAGAGTATCGCAGCATCTCCAGGTTCCCCGTCCGATGCACACGTAGAACACATACCTCGCTGACCTAATGAGCCCACGCGAAGCACAAGAAGCTGCCATTCCCGGTAGTTGATCTGCCTCTCTGACCTCATCGCGCACCTGTGCGAAAAGTCCAAATCTGGAGTCCGGTCGTGGCTTCGAGCGGACTCCGCACGGACCACATTGTCTCCGCATTGTTATGTAGATGCAAGTCTTGTCTCGTAGCATGACAGGATTGCACAACGAAGAAATGGCCATACGAAAGGGTCTAACCTATACAAACGATACCTGGCGAATGCCATCTCGTGGCGAGGAAACAGCAATTTTTTCGCAGTGTTGCAGTTTCCTCGGGTCGAGCAGCTCGAGTAGTCGCCGGAGAGATATGCGATGGTCTGGTGGACACCGAGAAACGTAACTCTCGCGACTAATCCGCTACTTCTGTCCTCAGGCCTGATGGCCGATGGTCCGCGCGTGGTCTTGTGGTCTCTGCCCAAGTCTATTGGCTTCTGCCCGAACGTTCGCCGTGGCGCTTTCCCAGTGCTAGTATATAATTGCTCTACGTAGAGGCCACGATGACTTGTACGTTCCCCACAACATCTTCAGCATTCCTCAATAACAAACTCTTATCGTTCGATACCCTCGGGATATGGCGCACGTTCTCTCATTACCTGTCATCGGTCAGGACATCGTCTACTTGCTAAGCATCGTCTCTCTTGGAGCCGTCCTGGTACATCTGGTGCCTTACATTATCGACCCGCGCGGGCTTCGCGCATATCCTGGGCCGTTCTTCGCGAAATTCACAGATGTGTGGTTGAGCTTGACCGTCTTCTCGAACGCATGGTCTGAGGCGGTCGAGAAGCTACACAAGAAGCATGGTATGTTCAAATCTGTCTTCCTTCCGTCGTTTGAATTAGAGAGTGATCCGTTTAAAAGGCTCATTCGTTCGCATTGGACCAAATCACGTCTCTATCGCGGACCCCGCGGCGCTCCCGCTGGTCTATGGACACTCAAGCGGGGCGCTCAAGGCGCCGTTCTATGACGCGTTCGTCAATTTCAAGCACGCAAGCATCTTTTCGACACGTTCGCGCGCAGACCATTCACGTAAACGTCGCATCGAGTCGCACATGTTCGCGCCAAAGAGCATACGCGCACTCGAGGGCACGACGCGCGTGCATTTTGGCAAGTTCGTAAGCCAGTGGGACACTCTATGCAAATGTGTCGAAGGATCGACGACAGACGGCATGATGGGCTCGTCGAAGTGGACGGTCAAGGACGGGCGGGTTTGGTTCAATTCCATGATCTGTACGTCCCTCCACGTATCTATCTCTTATCCGTTTCTTGACATGTGCTTTATGCAGGGTTCAGCTTCTGGTCTTTTGATACTATCAGTGCGTTCGAGAAGCTCTTTAAAGCTTCTAGCCCCAGTTAATGCCTCCGCATCCCAGGTGATCTTGCCTTTGGCTCTCCTTTCGGCATGATTCCCGCCGCAAAGGACGAAACCTGGGTCGCCAAATATCCCAAAGGAGGAGTCGAGACCTTTGAGAAGTCCTCATTTGAAATGGAGAAAATACCCGTTATCAGTGTGCTTTGTGCGCGCGTCGAAGTGGGCCCCGTATTCGGCTTCCTGCCCTCGCGCTGGTGGCCGTTGGCCAAATGGCATCCACGCATTCGAGAGGGAAATGGGGCTACTGCGAAACTGGCGGGTTTGTCGATCGCGTCTGTCTCGAAGCGCCTGGAAAATCCCGAGGCGAGGGAGGATATGCTACAAAAGTTGCTAGAGGGGCGCGATGAGGACGGGAGCCCAATGAGCCCAGACGAAGTGGCCGCAGAGTCGTTGACCCTCATCGTCGCTGGTGCGGATACTGTCGCTAAGTGAGTTTGTCCTCCTGTCATATCTGTTGATAGATTGACCATGTTCGTGCAGCACATCATGTGCTGCGACGTTTTACCTGGGCCGACATCTCGACGCCCAGGCTAAGCTTCAAGCTGAACTCGACGAGGCGCTCATCGATATTGATTCTGACGTTGCACCGTACGAGGCGGTCAAGGATCTGCCGTACCTCGACGCGGTGATCAATGAAGTACTGCGCCTACACTCGACCGTCGGCGCGGGATTGCCGCGCATTGTGCCTGAGGGTGGGATGAACGTGCTCGGGCAGACACTCAAGGAGGGGACATGGGTGAGTGTGCCGATCTACAATGTGCACAGGAGCACAGAGTTGTGGGGCGAGGACGCGGGTGATTTCGTGCCGGAGAGGTGGATCAACATGGAAGCAGATGCGAAGGTGGGGATGATGCAAGCGTTTGTCCCGTTCTCCGTTGGCCCAAGGTACGGTTGTCTTTCACAAATATTGGGCGAACTCGGATGATTGAACCCTGCGCGGTTTACTTAGAGCGTGTATTGGGCGGAATCTCGCGATTATGCAGCTTCATATTATGATTGCGACGATCTTCCGCAGGTATAGCTTTGTAGTGGAAGGCGATGGTCCTGTGAGTCTTCGTCGTCAAAATTCGCTTGATACGTTTCTAATCCGTCCCTTCAAGCTATTGGTGCAAGACAGCTTAGTCAGGAAGCCCAAGGAGTGTATTATTGGCATCAAGCGCAGGGCGTTTTGAATGATGAACTTAGTCCCGCGCTCCCTGTTATCCGAAGTGTACAGAATGTATCGGACTGTAATAATGTACGAATCTCCTCGCTCAAGCGCTCAAATGTGGTATACCTGTTCCAAAATTCATGCGAACCTTTTTGTCTTCATCGGTACCAGCATTGACGACTGCAGTTTCTGCATATGTGAGTTTGTGCTGTTGCCCACATTCCTACGCTAATTTCCGACATGAAACGATGACGCTGTAGAAATATATGGCTTGCCTCAAATTAAATTAGACGAAATATGACAGATTATTGCTGGGAAGCGCCGAATGGCTTCAAGGCAGCGTCTTAGTCTCGGGCCTTGTGATCAGGGTATCATGCCCTAAAGGCGCTTCCAAATTTCTCAATCGCTTTTATGGGTTTTGGATATCCACGGGGTTAGCGTTTCCTCATTTCTACGAGCACATCGGCACAAACAGGTTGTTGAAGTAAAAAGATCGCGCTTTTTGTTAGAACACGAGCATTTTGCGGCGAAGTACCCACGTACTAGTAACTGAAACTACCGAATGGTACGAGGTGGACCGGGCCGAAGCATCAGCGCGCTGTGAGGAAGGCGCGTGAAGAATCCATGAGTGTCAACGAAATGTAAACTCAGATTTGGCCGACGAATACTACTGTGCTATTCCCTCATGAACGGCCCAGGTTTAGAGTTCTATGGCCTTTTGGAGACGCTTAACTTGAACTGGCCACCGGCATTTCTCCAACAAGGCACGATACAAGATCCCTCTACCTCTTCTATAATGTCGTGATAGTGGGAACTTGCTGCGCCATCAGGCTGGCGGTAATTGTACGTATGCTTTACGACACACTGAACATATGGTTTTCTGATGCCTCTGTATTGTGACATCCGACCCTTGCGCCGGCACTTTTACATTGTACAGTTACTCAGGACACTGATTTCTCATCTCTTCGATTGATCCATACGATTGGGCGACTGGACAAGTGATAGAAGGATAGCCGGCCGAGTAGTGCTTGATACATGCGGTCCATCCCTTGTTGCATGCCTTCGTTTGCGCATCGTGCATTGCCTGCGGCAGCACACGCTTGTATCAACCACAGAGAACTGCCGCTGACAGGAAAGCATTCGCCTTTATCACTTGTTGGCCTTTCTTCATCTGACCTCCAATCAGAAATCCGGCTGTAGCCCTGGACGGGACTGAGCTTGGATTGACCATACGTGTATACCGCATGTCAACGTTAACTCTAGCGACCATCAATTTTTTCAGGCGGTGGAACACGCCTCCATCTTGTGGTCATAGGTCCGAAGATACACCAGTATACTCACTGTGTCATAATGGCTGAGATGTTGCAACGTCATATCTGTTTACGAGTTGATAGCGCTCTGCCTGGGCGGTCTCTTTGGTGCGTTGTCCTATATATACTGACTGCTTGTCATAACCTATCGGGCGGCATACCTGGTCTATGCGAGAGCACACCCGATACATCTCGTTTAACATCGATCTCATTCTTTCATTACACCATGCAGAATATCATTCTCCTGCTGTGCTTCGTCTTTGCATGCGTCCTTCTCATGCATTTGATACCTTACTTTTACGATTCGCACGGGCTGCGGGCGTATCCCGGACCGTTCTTCGCGAAGTTCACAGATCTATGGTTGGGTCAGACGATCTTCTCAAACACCTGGTCCGAGACCGTTGAGAAGCTACACAAAAAACACGGTATGTTATTCACTCTTTGTATGCTTCCCTCTTTGATATATTGCTCATTTTGTTTCCCCTCTCCATACTCCGCAAGGCCCATTTGTTAGAATCGGACCAAATTATATCTCCATATCAGATCCTGCTGCGCTGGTGTCAGTTTATGGGCACACCTCTGGGGCACTGAAGGCGCCATTCTATGATAGCTTTGTGGCATTCAAACACGCGAGCGTCTTCTCGACACGCTCTCGGGCGGACCACGCGCGTAAACGTCGTGTTCACTCGCTGGTCTTCTCACAGAAGAGTATCCGTGCGCTTGAGAGTACCACGCGCGTGCACTTTGCCAAGCTCGTCGAGCAATGGGACACCCTGTGCAAGTGTGTCGAAGGTTCATCGAAAGAGGGAAGAATGGGATCATCCACTTGGAGTCTTGAAGATGGGCGGGTTTGGTTCGATTGCATGACTTGTGAGTCCAGGAAGATCATACCCTGTCATGTACTATCCGTGAGCCGTAACTAATTGAAAGTCGGCATCCATTCAAGGGTTTGGCTTTTGGTCATTTGATACTATCAGTGCGTACTTACCAGACAATCCACTCCTGTCCCACTTGCTCGCTTACAACTTCGTATAAAGGTGATCTTGCGTTTGGATCGCCTTTCGGGATGGTTCGTGCAGCAAAAGACGAGACATGGGTCGCCAAATATGCTACAGGAGGCATCGACACACTCGATAAATGTGCATTCGACATGGAACGGATTCCTGTCATCGGCGTGCTCTCCGTACGTGCCGAAGTGGTCCCTATATTCGGCTTCCTTCCAGCACGCTGGCGCCCATTGGCGCAGTGGCATCCTCGTCTCCGTGAGGGTAACGATGCTGCGAAGAAGCTGGCTGGTTTGTCTATTGCATCGGTCTCAAAACGCCTGGAGAACCCCGAAGTGAGGGAAGACATGCTCCAGAAGTTGCTAGAAGGACGCGTTGCAGATGGAATTCCAATGAGCCCAGATGAAATGGCTGCTGAGGCTTTTACCTTGATCATTGCTGGTGCGGAAACAATGGCGATGTGAGCAAGCTTTACACACAAACCTAAGTCGACCAAATGTTGAATCGCATCCGATTAGCACATCTTGCATGGCCACTTACTTCTTATCCCGTCATCTTGACGTTCAAGTCAAGCTCCAAGCCGAGCTTGATGAGGCACTTTCCTGCGTGCACTCGGATGTCGCGCCATACGAATCAATCAAGAATCTCCCATATCTGAACGCAGTGATTAACGAGATGCTCAGACTACATACCCCCGTTGGTGCAGGGCTCCCACGAATCGTGCCGAAGGGCGGGTTGGATGTGCTCGGGCATGTCTTTGAAGAAGGCGTGTGGTTGAGCGTGCCAGTCTACAACTTGCACAGAAGCACGGAAATCTGGGGCAGAAATGCAGATGAATTCATTCCGGAAAGGTGGATCGACGTGGATGCAAAAGCAAAAGCGAGGATGATGCAGTCTTTTGCGCCATTCTCAATCGGGCCGAGGTAAGCATTTCGTTTTCGTGTAGCGCGAATTCCTGTTAAATTATATGCATGGTTCTGATAGAGGTTGTATTGGACGCAACCTGGCTCTCATGCAGCTTCATATCATGATAGCGACACTCTTCCGCAGGTACAGCTTCGTTGTTAGTAACAGCGACAAACCTGTATGCATATTCTGCCCATTTACAAGTTCGCTCGTGCCGCTAACATGTTTCAAAGCTTCCAATACAGGATAGTTTAGTCCGAAAACCGAAGGAATGCGTGATTGGGGTCAGACGCAGAACAGCAAAAAATCACTAGGACGTGCATGTTCACAATTGTCCGGATCGCAGGTGTCATACGTCTGCGTCGTCGTTCTGGACGATATCGTGAACTAATGCTTACCTGTTTGCAGAATTCTGGGGCACATATACATGCTTAAGCGTTCAATATATTGCGTGCATCAGCTCGGAGTTGTCTACAAAAGCCGTTAACATTATGAGGTTTTACCAGCTTGAAATCAATGAAGCTCTAAGGCAATCACTCATCGTACCCCGATTCATATCCTTACTCAGTCAGACCTAATCCCACATTTATGATCACCCAAAGAAGCAGTTGTGGTCCTGATCTAAATCATTAAGAAGGCTGGAGGTAACTCCTAATTATAAAACAATCGTAGGTTGCGGTGACAATTATAGTAAGATAGTTCTATGGGACTCGTCCATCACTTCAGCAAATATTTGCTACATTCTATTGAAACTTATTAGTCCATCGCCCCTAGTTGGGTCCTACGACAACTTGTTTTGTCTTATTGAAGCTCGCAATCGTCTCATTCGAGATTTGTAGGTGCGCCTGTACGAGCTGTGGCGGGATTAACGCGAGCCACTACAGAGAGTAATCAGCATCGGAGTGGCCAAAGGTAGCCCAGGGAAACCTACTTGAGAAAGACTGACGTCTTGGAAGATATCTGTGGAGAAGAAGCCCCGATCTCAGACACCGACAGAACATGCTATGAATCACGCTGCGACACACCCGTGTTGAAGATCTCGAGGAAGTGGAGCGTCTCGTTCGCTATGTTCTCCACGTAGTGTCCTGGAAGCATGACAATGAGCAGTATAATCATTATAGACACAAGCAGACGTACCGTATGTGGCAGGGACAAAGCCAACATCACCAGCCTGTAAAGGAGCGATCAGGAGAAGGATGTCAAAAAGAGCACTCCAGGGCATACCTGGAAATCGAATGTTTGAGCAGTGCTACTCGACGCAAACTCTGTCACACGTGCTGTGCCAGATCTGTAGGCGGAGTAAGCGACAAGCTTGGCCCGAGCGACAAAGCAGACACTCACAGATAGTAGGTCCATTCATCCTGAGTCGGGTGCCACTGGTCAAGAACGTCAGCGGGAGTCGCAAATAACATGCCGCCGACCATTGAGAACTTACGTGGAGCTCCCTAACAATTCGCGAAGGAAGCTATGAGTACCGAACGGGAAATAAATATAGTATGAATGTCACGCACCTCATTCCTCCAGGTTCGACTGTCACTTCGGCCACAGCAATCGCCGTCGCAGCCGGGAACGTTCGCGAATCAACAATCTTCACAGACCCTCCGGCAAGCGGTGTCGCAGTCATGTTCGACATCTTGAATGTGAATGGATTCGGCACCTGCCCGTATGGGTCCTCTACCGCTTGCGCATCAGGGGAGGGAGAGTCTACGACAACGACAGCATCAGAAGCCGCACATTTTTCAAGGGCCAACGAGACGTACTGCCAGGGAAGATGTACAGCTCCTTGCCAGGGAGTTCGTCCCACGCAGATAGACTCGTTCCGAAATTCTTCGCGATCACCTCCTTCGGCGTGTGTGCAAGCCAATCTGTCAATTGGAACGTCGAGTCGTCGCTGAAGTCTCCGTTGTCAAACACCTAAGCCAGAATCAGATCAAGGCCAATATGGACGAGTAGGCACACAACATACAAGCAGGAATTCCGCCCCATTTGGGTCCTCGTTCGTCGCCTGCAGACTGTGCGGGATGCCAGGAGGAAAATACCACAGATCACCAGGACCCTAACAGATTACACTGTTATCAGACCAGACCCCATCGACGTCACAATCCTCACACGTACCACATTCCCAAGGAAGTTCCGTCCATCCTGGTCGACGGACGTCACCTGCATGCTGCCCTACAGATCGACAGTCAGAACGTGCCATCCATGCGTTGTGTCAAGAAACCATGCATACACTTAAAACATAGGCCCACTGCGCTCATAACCGTTAGCAATCTGACCAAAAGCTGTGGGACGGAGCACCACTCACTTCAGCTGTCTTGTGCCAGTGAAGCTCTCTGTCGAGAACGTAATCTAAGCATAGCGCCTTGAGCAAGTAGGTAGGAAGCCGCATACCGAATTGCACCGGCCTCAAGGCGCATATCAACACCGGCCATAGCTATCGAAAGCTTAGTCTTAGTCGCTAGCCGATTCAACCATCCACTTACACGTCGCAATAGGCATCTGGTTGACTGTGGAATACAGATGTCAGAAGCGTGTGGCCGATAAGATGACACGGACCACTCACTGTTTTGCTGTCGCGCCCAGCCTCCTGTCTGCAGTCGCATTGGGCTCAAAGTCATCGGCCACTTGATATTTCCACCTGGGCTGTACAAATACAGATCAATCGCGGCACTGGCCATCCAGTCAATGAACACTCACATCACCCCACTGTCTGTCGTTGGCGGCGCGAGAGTGTCGGGATTCTGTGCCTGTAGTGCCATGTTCTGCTGCCCGAGAATCGTCGTCCCGAGCGTGCCCCGCATCGGCTGCAGATTCACCGTCTCGCTCGACGTGCTCCCAATCCTCACAGCCTGCACACTCGAATCGCTCGTAGTCGTCGTGTTCCACATCACATAGTTCGGGTCGTCGCTCGCCGGCGCCACCGTCTCACTCGCCGGAATCGCAGACGTCGTGGTCGACCCGGACGCGATGCTGGAGCTGTTGCTCACCACGACTGTGCCCTCGAGTGGTGTAGGGAGAGCAAGTATGGATGTGCCAGAGAGGAGGACGGCGCACAAGACAAACGATAGAAACTTTGTCATGGTCGATCAGTTCAAGAGCGAGCGAAAGGAGCAGGGGAGAGTGGGCGAAGAGAAGACGGAGGAGGATGGCGATTGACTCTCCACAGCTCACCATCCCTGCCTTATATCATGCCTGACGTCTTAGCGTCCCAGACTCACGGCTTTCACACAGACGCAGAGACGTACCTTCAATCCACCATCCACCGTGGAGACGGCCCCAGTAGCACCCGTACCTCCCCGCACCATGGCTGTCAGTCTGCTGCACATGCAGCATGTGTTCATGCATCGTGGGTTCCGTGACAGAATCTGGCCTGACGCTAGCCATGTCCGCTACACCCGGCATGACATGTCGGCGGGCGCACGATGTCAGACGGACACTGCGGGGTGCCTCGGCGCAATCTGCGATGAGCTTCGCAAGATACCATCTCGGAAGTTCCATCACCACTTGCACCAGTGCGAAATTGAATACACCAAACTCAAATGACGAGTCCAAGGGGCAAGTTCACTACTCAGCTGTAGCCCATCCTGGCACGCACCGCACTGCGAGCATAGCATTAGACTTTTGACGCCACACGGTCCCGTCGGAAAAGTATTTTGCCTCGTCCGTGGAGAAGAGCTCTTGGGTAACCAGCGGGAGGCTAGCGTCGGAAGAATGTCTCGCAGGATTCGCGTCACGGAAGATCGGCCAAACATACGCAGGCTTGGCGCTGTTCATTCTGCTCATGTTTGAGTCTGTGCGAGCCAGCCTGTAATCGAGCTCGCAACACTCCGTCCACGTCTTCGCCCTATCCGAAGCTAGCACCATAAAATCCAATCTCACTTCGCAAACGTGAAGTCTCGGCAAAACGGATCGTTCTCGCGCTGTGCATTGACACACGATGCCCTCGTCAGCGTGTCAACAGAGCCGTGCAAACATTTGAACAGCTGAACATGATACCACCAGACGTTGGTCAAGACTATAGTTCATGCGGACGCCGGGCAAGCTGGCTGAGAACACGACGAGGACTCCCGCCAGCGGGAGTGCCCAGCCCCGGAATCGGCAGCCACCGATCGATCCGACCAATGGTGCCTGCTCTCACTATCAGCTTGCAGCCTTCGAGCGTCTCCTCTCATTCCCCGCATTATATCCATTTGCTGGATATCATCTCTGAAGACATAGCTTTAAGTACATGTTCGCGCAATATGCAAGAACTTTCCTACTGGTTCATGCAGTCACTCGAGTAGAATTATAATATCGAATATCAGTCGCGTCGACAGAGTAGTGACGGCTATTTTAAGTGGCCTCAATTGTCAATTCAGATACGACAGCATCGGACCAGGCTACAGAGACCGTGTCAATAGTGATGCCGTGAAGCAAGGAGGTTCAACTTACTCGTCGTCATTCGCACATGAAGAATGATTCCGACAACAAACTTGAGTTCTGAGATGTTATAATGCAGACCAGAATCCGACTCGGACTCACCGGCGCGCGGGGAAAGCGTCAATGGCATTCGAGTCTGAGCCAGTGAGCACCACCGCGATAACGAAGAAAGAAACTCCGTCCCAATCCTAGCAAACGGAAGCGTGCGCCGGACTGCCGCATAATGCCGCGGAGTCAGTAATGCGATCTGGGCCACCGCCGGCCAGATACCGTTTTCAGTTGAAGCCGTTAGAAACGCCGTCATGCAGACAACCACACTGCTGCAGACAAGCGGCCTATCTTTCACCCGACGAGCGATCTCTACGACTTTTACTGTGCCTGGAGGCTGGAAGATTTGACGGACATTCCGTGAGGTAAATCTTCCGACATATTCTTCCCGCCATCATGCGCTCCATTCAGGGCTCGCGATCGTTTGCGACCATGTCGACGCTGCTTAACGCTGAGACTCGACGAGTCGGGCATTCCCCTCGGATATTATCCAACGTTTGCCAATTGTTCATTGGTGAATGACGCAGGAATCCAGGATACTCGCTACTATCTACTATGTGAAATCGTGCATCAGCTGAGCCACTGTGCCAAAGTCTCTGGCGTCGCATCCCAAATTGAGCTGTGAGTTCACAGAGTTTGATTTAGCATCTTGCGCTCATCCTCCCGAAATAAACCTGACACTTTGGGCTAGTCCATAGTCCAGGGCCTGTACGCGCGCATGCCCGTGTACCCACGGTGAGCGGACACAGCGGGGCACATAGCGATCGTGTTGACAGCCACCGGGTGGCAGCGGGCACTCGATCGTGACCGGAACTGCAGAGATGGCGAACATGGGTGTGTGTCGCCGGCAGACGCATCTTTCGCCGTCTGTGGTTAGGAAGAAATAAAAGACGTCGAACATGAACGAGAACAGCCAAGGTCCCATCCTCTTCCGTCCTCTTCCGTTGTCTTACATCCTCTGCAGTCGCCCTCAGCCACTACAGCCGCCGCATTTGCCATGGCAAAACTCCTATCATTTGTGTTCTGTACTGTCCTTCTCTCCGCCACGCCTACGCTCGCTCTCCCGACGCCGCTAGATGGCACAGTCGTGGTGAGCAACAGCTCCAGCATCTCGTCGGGGTCGACCACGACGTCTGCGATTCCGGCGAGCGAGACGGTCGCGCCGGCGAGTGACGATCCAAACTACGTGATGTGGAACACGACGACTACGAGCGATTCGAGTGTGCAGGCTGTGCGGATTGGGAGCACGTCGAGCGAGACGGTGAATCTGCAGCCGATG